AAAGGGGAGATCTCCCGCCGGGCAAGGTGTTCTGCCCGGGGAGCGGCCGACACTCCATGTGATAGTTCGGAGATGTTCTATATATATACTGTTTATGATTCGGAATTTTGATAGCGTGATTTAGGCGTCGGCGCAACGATAGCGCCGCCACAACATCATTGAAACAACTTCAGGCACAAAAGTTCAGTCTGATTAAATTTTTAACAATTTCTTTTTTAACGTCCCGGAATTAAAAAGCAATGATTTTATAAATTCTGTTTTTGTTCTCACCCCAGTTTTCGAAACACAGTTTTCATCAGATCCAGACGGTTGAGATCTAACACGCCCGTATGCATAGCGTAGGCACGAACGAACCGCACACGTGCACATGCACGCACGAACCGCGCATGCACGCACGCATGCACTATTAATACTCATCATTGATTAACATTTTGTACATACTAATAAGTTAAAACATTTATCGAACAAGATAATTTTTTAATACTATGGGAAAACCACCTTTACAAGTGTTGCACTGCCAAATATTTATGTGACACTTTCTTTTTATAGATGTTTTCAATTTTCAATTGTTAAATTTAATTATGTAGTGAATTCATATTAAAATAAATTTTAATAAAAAACAAATGAGGAAAACATGAGAATAGCCGTCATTTGAATACAATTCAAGTCAAGGACTCATCAAACCTAACAAAACGAGCCCAAACTCGGCACACCTAGTAGTACTCGGCGACCAGTTCTAATATCGATTACCAAAGTACACCCTCAGGTCACTCCGTCAAGTCCGGAGGTAAGGACTCATCATATCTAACAAAACGAGCCCAAACTCGGCACACCTAGTAGTACTCGGCGACCAGTTCCAATAGCGATTACCAAAGTACACCTTCAGGTCACTCCGTCCAGTCCGGAGGTAAGAACTCATCATACCTAACAAAACGAGTCCAAACTCGGCACACTTAGTAGTACTCGGCGACCAGTTCCAATACCGATTACCAAAGTACACCTTCAGGTCACTCCGTCAAGTCCGGAGGTAAGGACTCATCATGCCTAACAAAACGAGCCCAAACTTGACACACCTAAGGTAAACACCCCAGTTATGGACAGTTTAAGAAAAAAATTGTGGTGTTTGTGAATTTTTATCAATATCGTGAAAGTTTCAGTACTGAATATACTTAAAGTGTAAAGTCCTGTCCATAGGCAAAATTTTTACTGTCTTACGCGTGAGATACTGCAAAGCTGGTTTTAATTTTTTTAACAATTAAAAATCCTAATTTTTTACCCAGTCATGGACAGCTAAAAACCAGTTGTGGACATCCAGTAATGAACATAACCTAGTCATGGACATCCAGTGATGAACTTAAACCTAGTCATGGACATCCAATAATAAACTCGAACCTACTCTTATACATTTTATACCTACTTATGACTACATTTATATTATGATTTCTTAAATTTACGCAAACACTACACATTGAATAAAACTATTATTTACGGATTTTATTGTGTTTAATTACTTTAATTTATTTTTATTATTATCCCGATGTTTCGGGTGCTTTACAGCACCCATGGTCATGGTGGGGACTGAGATGTTTGACGTCCCAATGTCATAGTTAGTCAGATTTACGCAAAACGAGCTTATAGTATCATGAAGTCTTGCAGTGGTATGCTTGGGTTTGGGTTTAATTTTGTTAATTATAGGATCCCAAGCAGATGGTAGCACCCAACCATCTTCTCTATTGAAATTTGGAGGTTTTTTTAATTTCAATAGCCTCGCGTATCATCCTTGGTAGGAATCGGTGTTCTTTTGCGAGAATTTGTGGTTTATCAAGTCTAATGTAATGGTGGGGACGATCTTGAACATGTTTGCAGACTGCAGACTTCCCGGAGTGTCGGTGCTTCACATCAGCTATATGTTCCTTCACGCGGGTTTTTATAGATCTCTTTGTTTGACCTATGTAAGAGAGACCACATTCACAATCTAGCTTGTACACACCTGCATCTTGTAAAGGAATATTACATTTTTGATGGATGGTAAAAATTGACTAATCTTCTTCAGCGGCTTGTAGTATGTCTTAATGGATGCTCGCTTCAAGATGTAGCCAATCTTGTCCGTGACTCCTTTGACATATGGTAGTAGAGCAGGCGCGCGCTCGACTGTGGCCGGTTTCACTCGTTCACTGTGACGTAGGCGCGGGACCCGAAGCTTGTTGTCTTGCAATACTTGCTTGACGTGCTGAAGCTCCGCGGCCAGATGTTTTCTGTCACAGATCCCTCGTGCTCTCTGAAACAAAGATTTACCCACGGTAGCTAACTGTGAAGGATGATGGTGAGATTCACCATTTAGATATCGGTTGGTATGGGTCTTTTTCCTATACACAGTGTGACCAATAGTGTTATCAGGATTTCGGATGACTAAAACATCTAGGAAGGCTAAAGAATTATTTGTCTCTAACTCCATTGTGAATTGTATTTTAGAGTTTATGGAGTTAAGGTGGTCTAAAAATGCAGTTACTTTGTCAGATGGTAAAATTGTGAAAGTGTCGTCTACGTACCGCTTGTAGAACCTTTGATTTACAGGAGCAGTAAGAAGGGCTTTCTCCTCAAAGTCCTCCATGAATATGTCGGCGACTATGGGAGACACAGGTGAGCCCATCGCCACACCATCTACTTGCTTGTAGAACTCCTCCTTCCACAATAGATAGCCAGATGTGAGGCAATGTTCAAGTAGTATTGCATATTCTTGAGGCATGTTATTTTCTTCTAGCTTCCTAGTTACAATTGAGATGCAGTCCACAATAGGTAGGCATGTAAATAGTGACTGAACATCAAAATTGACCATAGTTTCATTGTTAGCGAGATGTAGGTCTTTTATCTCACTCACAAAATGGTACGAATCCTTTGTGTGTGCTCTGGTATGTCCTCTCAGTGGTGATAGTATTTTTACTAAGTATTGTGCCAGCTTATTAGTTGGTGAATCGATCTGGCTCACTATGGGACGTAGTGGAGCGTTTGGTTTGTGTATCTTCAGTAACCCATACAACCTCGGTGGTTTGGCACATGATTACAATATTAGCGAATTCACGTCGAGATTTAATTTTTCGGAGTATTTTTTTATTAAATCGCTAGTTGTTTTAAGCGTGTTAGTTGTAGGGTCTGTTTTGACCTTTTTATATGTACTTTCGTCAGATAAAAGTTGTTGTATTTTAAAATTATATTCCGACACGTCCATTACCACCGTAGCATTTCCTTTATCCGCGCGGAGAATCGTGAGTTCTGGTCTGTTCCGTAAGTTATTTAGCGCTGTAAATTCGTCTTTGGGAAGGTTTGGTTTCGGCACTGAACTACGACGTAACAAGGACGAAATATCTTGACGTATGGCCTCCAAATCTTCCTTACCGATATTATTCTTAAACAGACAATCCTCAACACTGCAGATAATTTCTTCGTACGGGATTTTTCGCGGAGTTAATGCGAAGTTCATTCCCTTCGCTAATACCTTCATTGTCGGTTCGTCCAGTGTATGTTTTGACAAATTATATATACAGTGCGTTGTTTATGGGTATGTTCCGAAATACAATGCAGTGTACTGTCCAATGCAAATGACGTCATGAATCGACGCTATACTGGTGATTCGTTCCAAAACATTGGACAGTATATGACGTCATACTTTTGCGCCATTTGGAAAAGTGTTGGCGATTATTTTGTCATTTTGTGCTCCAAAAATCATTATATCCTCCTAATGGATATACCATCAATTATTCTATAATTTTTTGTATTTGAATAAATAGAAACAAATTCTGGCATGCTTCATTAGGCAAACACACAATTAAAAATTGTTTTATTATGGCTGGATATCCGGCACAATATGGCGGCGGCACGCTAGTACAATAAAGTGTCAAATGATACGTCATTTGCATTGGACAGTACACTGCGTTGTATTTCGGAACATACCCTATAGTTTGTGTCTATGGTCAACGGTTGTTTATTGTTCTGCCGTTGACTTGGATGTTTGGCATTTGATTTGATCGTTAATTTTTGGTATTTTTCTATTTGTTTATTTTTGCATTCATTGTATTTCGATGTTTCTCGTTTGTTTAAAGTTTCGATGCAATTATTAAAATCAAATGTCGTTAAAATTGTCTTTAGTTCACTGGACAAATTGTCTATGGTGTTGTTTATGAAATGTAAATCGAACCGTTTCTGCTGAATCACCGTCCGTAACAACTTTTTACTTGCCTGATTTAAGATCTTAGCGCTTCCTCGAATGTCCTTCTTTGTTGATATTTTGACACACGTAGGAATGAGATTATGGTCTCTGCATCTCTTCAAGAAATTTAAAGATGTTATATATCTTGCGCGCTTGGTTTTAAGATCTTCTAATCGTCGAATTTTATTTGCTATTACCAGTCCGTACTGGTTCACATAATGATTTCTTAAATTTACGCGAACACTACACATTGAATAAAACTATTATTTACGGATTTTATCGCGTTTAATTACTTTAATTTACATTTATATTATTATGACCTAATCGCAGAATCTATGATGAATGTCTAGATGTAGATAATTTTAGTTATTGAAGTAAAAATTAAATGCAGTAGAATAATATAAATATTTATTTTTATTTTTAACGAACTTTTTCTAAAATGACGATGTATTTTTTTCTAAATTGACAATCTGATTAGCATTAAAGAACTTACCTATCTAAAAGTAATTTACGAACATGAACTTAATCAGCCTTCATAATTACATTCATTATGAATTAACGAATACTTTTTTAAAAATCTATGATATAATTAACCAACAATCGATCATAAACATAATCAGCCTTCCTTAAATTCTTTTAACTCAAAATATTTCTGTAAGTAGGCAAATATTTTTTGTATGTACCTACATATAAAATATATATCAGACTCAACAATACAAAGTTTCTTATTTATGTTAATCATAAACTCGTCTTTGTTAATAAAAAACACAATTATCTTAATAACTTAGGTAAGTATTCAAAAAGTAAAAATTGAGTATTTTTGCATCTCTTCTACACTGTAAAATCCTCTTTTGTTGATTAATTTTGGAGGACGGATGTACTCGACGATGTCTTTGCTTTGGTACCACATTTTATCTGTTTTTTCTGGCCATTTATAGGTATTGCCTGTTGAAAATGTCATCCTGCTTACTTCAAATTCATTTTTATTTCTATTTTCAATGGCCCCAGGAAAATGTTGCCCTTCATATAAAACTATAACGTAACTTCCCTTTGATAGTTTATGTTGAGAAAGAACTAACGTACTCAACGGCGCGTCATCCGATTCCGATCCTCCAGACAAGATACTTTCATCACTTTCGGCATAAATTATTTCAGATTCAGTGTCAGAAGACTCGGATCTATTTTTTTGCTTTGTAACTTTTTTCTCCTTGTTAAGTTTCTCATGCCTTTTTTCTTCTCTTTTTTTAGCTCGCAATTCCTTCTCTTCTATTTGTTCTTTTTCTCTTCTGTCCTTTTTAGCATGATAGGCCTTCCATGCAGGGCTTGTAACTGTAAATGGTATTTTTTCTTTTAATTTACGTTTTTTATTTTTTGTTGTTTCGTCAGTTTTAGGCCAAAATAAGTTTCGTTTAAAAGGAGATGGAATCACATAGATTGAAGTGCTAACATTAACTGTTCTAATAGGTGTTTTGTGACTGCATCTTGGTAAAGAATCATCTCGTATATTATTATCTTCTTGGCCTACATTTTCCATATTCAAAGAATTGAGACCTGAAGTTTTTATGGACAAGCAATTCGTTTGTGTAGAAGTGCTAGGTTCAGAATCATCAAAATTTGCACTGCAATACAAATCAGGATTTTTTCGGATTTCTTTAGAAGACTCGTTGGAATTTGGATTATTAGTTCCTGGTGAAGGATTTGACGTAGCAACCGGGATTGTGGATGTTAACTGGTGATCTTTGGACAAACAGTTGGTATATGAAGAAATGCTGGGTTCGGAATCATTAATATTACAAGACAAAACAGGAATTGTTTGGATTTCTCTTGGAGAATAATTGGCATCTGGATTATTCGTAACTGATACAGGATTTGAAGATTCTTCATTTACTACGTCAGTTTGTTTACTGTTGGCCCAAATCAAATATAGAGATATATCTTCATTAGGCAAAAGTTCTTCTAGCTTAAGGCGACTTTTGTAATAAAGATCTTTGAATAACTTCAGCTTGTCTTTAGACAAAATGGTTTCAATTTTGTTTTCTAAGCTTTTCAAAAATTCGTTTTGGCATGTAGAGTCTTAAGTATTTTTTCGGTTCTGACTCTTAATTTTGGTCATGTCAACGTACTCTGGGCCAAATGAGTACAGTCCTCTCGCGCGAAACCCATTTCTCACTGTCTCGGTAGAAATTTTCTCTACGGCTCTCTTCAAGAGTGGAGCAAAATGTTGTTTTTTAAAGACTTGTCCCAAATGATGATTTTTCCAATTTTTTACCGCTTCTCGCCATAACGACTTCAAAGGCCTGATTACTGCCAAATCCATAGGTTGTAAGATATGCGTAGAATTTGGGTTGAGTGCTATGACTTCAATACCATTGTTAATTAGATAATAGACAGGTGCAAAGTTAAATGTGACTTATATCCATCCAAAAAGAATATAATTGGTCTTTCAATATTTTTTTTAATCAGCCAAGGATGAAAGACGTTTGTTATATATTCGTAGAATGTCCCTGAGCACTTCCATCCACTTTCTGAACGACCAATGGCCCAATCATCGAGAAAATTTTCTGAAACTAATGACGGTATTCTTGCATAGTTATATACTACCAGAGTAGGTGCCAACTCTCCCGCAGCATTTCCTGTAATCAGAACGGTCAAATTTTCTTTATCGTCGCCTGAAGAAGCATACACACATTTTTATCTCCTTTTCTAGCGAGAACATGTCCTGGTTTTGGATTTAAGAAAAATGCACTTTCATCTGTGTTAAAAATTCTTTCAGGATGTTGCATTATGTCAATGAGATTTCTGTCTTCGAGATCACTCTCTGCTTCCGAAAACCATTTCTCAATGTCTTCTTGGGTAACATTGTCCCTTGTTGTACACAAATTTTGAGCTACCCGTTCAGCAATCGTAGGATGTCATTTTAGAAATGATGTGTACCATTTCTTGCCAGGTCTATTATCTTTGAAAGGGGTTTCTTGCTTTTTGTCGATTATAATTCGTTGGACACTGTCCATTAAATCCTCTTTTGTTACAGGTATATGTTTATCTAACATTTCTTTGATCCAGATTTCTAAAATGTTTTCTTCATCCTTACTTAAAATGGTACTGGATCCCTTTGAGCACTCAATCGGACTTTTACCAGTAACTTTGTTGTGCAAGGTTATTCTAGGTACATTAAACTTTTTGGCTGCTTCGGATATTTTTAACCCTTTTTTACTGCCTCAATAGCCCAGCCCATTTGTTGAGGCGTATAATCTTTTTTAGGAGCCATTTCTATAACAAAGAATAAGTATCATGTTTATCAATGTCCATAACTGGATTCCTATAAAGTATCCAATAATGGACACATACGTCCATTAGTGGTATACATCAGTATTTTTCAAATTTACAACTAGCTTATAGCAAATAATAATAGGGTAAAATAAGTTAAAAATTTGAATATATCAAGATGATCTTGATATATTCAAATAACCGCTTAATTCGTTCATCTGACCCTATATTATTCCCGAGGAGTAGTGATAGGGCAGAGCGATGACTATTAATAGATCCATATGATGATCCATTGAGATTTTTGTACAGATCCACTATAAATGATATTAGGATGAAAATGGAGCTTCATAAGTATTTACTTGGTTATTTATACAAAATTGCCACCACAGTCTGTACGTACTAGAATATTGTTTCATAGTATTATCTGAGATGGATGCTAGCATGAGATCTAGTGCTATGTCCGAAGTGTTTAATCTCTTAAATGCTGCCCTGAGAGCGTCGCGGCTGCCAGAGAAAGGCTGGCATGAAGTCGGTGACGTAACCTGTAACGACAACGCAAAAGGTCTCTGTTGGGTTTAAAGAAAATAATCTCCGAGATGAGCATTCTTTTGAGCAGTGGAAACCAAGCTTATCCAGGCTAGTAAGGAAATACAAATATACTGGTGGCTTTGTCACTAATAATTTTTCGTAAACATCTTAGTATTAAGGCGAACGGAGGAAATGCGTAGAAAAACGACGAGTTCCAGTTAACTGTAAAAGCGTCAATTGTCATTGCGTCGGGGTCAGGTTTCCATGAGATATATTGAAGGCATTTTGCATTGGTACGAGAAGCGAAAAGATCAATTTCAGGTTCTCCCAGACTTTGAACAATTGTTGCGAACGTCCGTTCCGATAATTCCCACTCCGTATCTACGTTTACTTTTCGTGATTTTTCATCAGCTTCGCGGTTGTCTGGTGTGTTAATTTAGGATGCAAATAAGAAGATATTTCGCTTCTCGCACCACTGCCAAATAGTTTTGGTCAAATTATTTAAATGTGAAAACCGTATTCCGCCCATACGATTTATGTAGCATATGGCAGTTGTGTTATCCACGCGGAGTAAAATAGAGCAATTAGAGTGAGCAATAGCAAAGCATTTCAAGCCTAGGAAAACGGCTAGTAGTTCTAGGTAATTAACGTGAAAGGATAATTCGTCGTCCTTCCATCCACCGTTAACTCTTTTATCATCACAAACAGCTCCCCAGCCTGTATTGGACGCGTCAGTATATATTTCTAAAGCAAAGTTTTTGTTTGGCCTCAGTGAATTGCTAATGGAAAATATATTGTTTCCACCATTGCAGGTCGGGTAAAATAATAATTGAAGGCTTGATTTTTGCTTCAAAATCGTTGTATTTTACTAAAGCTAAATATTTTTGACGTTCGAGAATTTTGGTGTACAACCAATGGTTGGTTATACACCAAAAGTGGTGGTTCTAACGGCTGGACAGGCAGCAGTAAGTATTCCTATTATTTGTGACAATTCCCTGATAGAGAATTTGGGGAGTAAGGCAAATTTTTTGACATACTGCGTGATAACTTGTCGTTTGTCATTTGGCAAACTTAATGACATATCAACTGAATTATATATAAACCCAAGAAATCGACATATCTGTTTTGGTTCAAGGAAATTTTCGTAATTGATGACAAATCCTAAACATTTGAGCAATGACAACGTTTTGTAAGCGTCGCCTATGCATAGGATATCATCCAGATATATTACCGACCTATGTCCTCTTTGTCGTAGATAGTTAATAGGTTCTTTCATTAACTTAGTGAAAACCCAAGGGGCAACGGACAGTCCATATGGCAGAGCGTTAAATTCAAAGCATTTTTATTAAATTGAAAACGTAAGTACTTACGATGTTTTTTGCTATTGGAACTAAAAGGTAAGCCTCTTTTATATCGATATTTGCCATGAAGCCGGATTTAGGTAAAAGTGTAGCCGCAGTCCTATGGTCTTCCATTTTGAAATGGGTGGTTGAAATAAACCTATTTAGAGTTCTAAGATTTAAGATAAATCTTTTTGTTCCGTTAGATTTCGGAGCTAGAAATACATTGGAAACATAGTCGTCCATCGATCTGCGACAGGGTGAAATAGCACCAAGATCCAATAACGATTTGATAGAATTTAACATATGCGGGTCATTACTGAGTACAGAATTACGTGGAACTGAAATTTGTCTTACTTTGTTACAAAACGGTATGGAATACCCTTCTGAGACTTCACTTGAGTATTTGAGAATTTTTAGTTATGTTAAACCAGCAGTTATAAAAATGCTGAATTCTTCCTGCGTGTACCTTTATTGTTGTTGAGCTGTGGCACGGTGCTTGCTCTGCGCCGACGGTTTCGGTTGGAAGCTGGTGCCTGGTGGCGCTCTGCGACTTGGTAGTGTTCTTCGGCCCTCCCCTCCCCCTCTGTTTGACGAGGAGCGAGAAGGGCCTCCCCAGTTTCCCTGGGGGCGTGAGCGGCTCGTTGATGGTTGATGTAACGAGTAAAAAGTTTTCAAATTTTGGACAGGTTTCTTGATTTGTAAACCGTATTTCTAGATCACTCTTGTGGCTTTTATTTTTACTGACAGCTTACCTCCAAAGAGCAGGTCATCGCGATCCACTTCGTGCATAATATTTATAAAGGATTTATCCAATCCTGGTGTCACAAATTTCTTCATTGCTTCCGTTTCTACAAAGTGTAGGTCACATAGTATTCTACAGCTGTCACTGAGAAACTTACCAGCTTGAAGTCTATCTTTGCCATTCCTCTAAGAGGAGTTCAAAATTTACTAAAAATTATGTATTATAAATCAAAAATATTCCCTACAGAAGATCTTTATGCCATAAGTAATGTACCTATTGTTAGGAAACCGTACATCATATATTCAGTTCTAATAGTGCATAAAGGTATAAAGTTTAACCGTTGTATTGTACCCAAAAGAAAGTTGTACGTAGTGGCTACAGCTGTCGCTGTTAAAACGATTTTAGCTATAATGGCGTTGTATAGAGTCGCTGCCTGTGTGTGACTCTATACAACTCCATTAATAAAAGCATAAAAATTCATCATCTTAACTACCATAATTGCAAATACAAACCTAATGGCTATTTTATAAGAGCTATGATGATACAGAGGCTCTTTTAAGCAATATGAAATAATGTAATTTATTTATAACACACACGCCCACACACGCACGCACGCACGCATGCACACACACACACACACGCACGCACGCACACACAGTCACACGCGCGCGTGCGCGCACTCACTCACTCATTCACACACACTCACATATAACAGGTTCATCTCTTTCTGACCAAAATGTCTTTCACATCATCATAATTACGAGTGCAGAGCCACTCGGTCAGTTTTTCTACACTCAAACATTTTCATGGGGTAAATTTTAAGTAAGCGATTGATGTTGTTATAGGCATTGAGCTATATTTTGTCGAGTGGCAAAAACTGTACGTGCAGGGTATGAGGAAGCCACGATATCGCACCGTCTTTTCGTAAGTTTGGTATGGTCAAGAGGTAACGTTTTGTGATATCTTAGTATCATGTGTAAAATATAAAGTTTCCTAACGGAGAGCAGGTTAGATGTTTGGTATAGGGTTTCGGTGGAAAACCTATAGGGCCTACAGTACATTACCTTAATCAAGGATCTTTGCGCCCTTTCTAGATCTATAAAGTATGATTTAGCTGCTCCTCCCCATACGGAGATG